GCTTCCCTCAAGAGTACTGTCCAAGTGGTCCGTCCTCAGGAAGAGTCCTCTGCAATTTTTTTTTTCTTTTTTATTTTTATTTTTCTTTTTATTTTTTATTTTTTTTATCTGACTTTGACCCTCAAGAGACCCGTCGACAAGTGTCCGTCGTTGGGCCAAGTCAGTTACTTCTCATGTGAGTACAGTCAATCATACACACAATATCAATCTAATATTACAACATACTCAATGTCTATATACACTACAATACACTACCAAAGCAAGTCTCCCACCCCACACTTAAAATTATGGCATGTCCCCATGTCATATCAAAAATAAGAGGGTAAAAGAAACTCCCTGGTAGGCCAAAGGCCGAAGCACTAGCAGCTCATGGGGTACTCAGGCTTCTCCCAAGCTTGGTCCTTCGTGCGGGTACCTCACACTTAGTTCCAACCATTTGGTTTGCTGTTGCATCCTTCTAATACCTTTGCTTTCCATGCTCCTAGAAGAAGAAAAAAATTGACACACTTTTCTCGCCACTTGGATGATATGAACTGGGCACCTAGCTTGGAATCAAGCTTGTGACCTCGAGCGATCGGGGGTGGTACGTTAATGATCGAGCCAAGCTTTAAGTACTTCATTTTGCACTTCTTGGCTTTCATGTGAGGAATGTCATTTTGCCTCCTTGTTCCCTCAAATTGTAAGATGAATGGTTGTTGCCTTTCCTCCTTGCAATCCCTCATTGAGTCGTGTAGATTAATTCCCATATCACCACACAAGTCCAATGTTGAAAAATGCTTGGAATGCGACTTCAAACCTTCATTTTGCAATTTTTCTCGGATTTTGACATCCTCTTTTTCCCCCGGGCTAGAGTCAATCTCAACCAAATTTTCATTTACACCGGTTGACTCTAATCCTATTTTTTTCTCGGCATCATTAACACTCATGGAGTCGGTTGGCGGATGTTCAATTCTTGAATCCTCAAAGTAACGCTCACTTTCTTCCTCGGAATTGGATTCTTCTTGGTTTTGATCAAGTGCCAAGGAAAGATTTTCGGCTTCCACATCTAAGGAAAGTTCTTGGCTCTCATTAACTTCCGAGGCCTTTTGGACCTCTAAAGCTTCAAGCATTTCTCCTATTTGTGAGTGACACCTTTCAAGTGCCAAGTCATTGTGGAGACTATTTTCCAAAAGCTCCTCCAAGGCACTTTGTTCTTTGATTCCTCCTTCAAGTAAACATTCCAACATGAGCTTGAACTCTCCATTTCGGCCATGCTCAACTTCTTCAACTCCCATGGCCCTATAATTTTCATCACAAAAAGTAGAATCATCATAGTGGGGGCTTGGGGAAGGGAAGGACAAATAAGCACAATCGTCCCAATGACCATTTTGAAAACCACACTTATCACAAATACTCCACTCATGGGTTTGAGATTGTGCGCACAATCCACCCCTGGGAGAATTTAAATAATTTTGCCACGAGTGTGGTCCTCCACAATAAGGACAAGGGTCATCAAAGTATGAACAACTACCATCCGACCAATTTTCATTATATGAAGCCATTTTTCAAAACTAAGAAAATAAACACGAATAACAATAGAAATAGACCAAGGTAAGAAAAATTAATTACACAAATATTCACAAGTTGGGTATAGAGAAAACTGACTACACTAAGAATTTTTGTATTTCTATCAATGGTAATTGATAATTTCGTTAACTCCCCGGCAACGGCGCCAAAATTTGATCACGCCCAACTATGCCTTATAAAAAGGACTCTGCGGACGTTGCAAATATAACCCGAGTATTACGCCCAGGGTCGAATCCACAGAGAGTTAACCTATCAACCACTATCTTCAGACCCACTAATTCTTCAGAACCAGCTTCCCAAATATTCAAATCTCAGTTGAGTGTTCTTTAACAACTAGCTTGCAAGTAACTAAATAGCTGTAAACTAAACTAATAAGGTTGTAAACAATTATGAGAAAAAGCTAAGGCAATGATTTCCCCTATTGAAGGAATCCCTTCTGTTTATGCTCATACAAATTTACCAACACATCTCTATCAATCATGAACGCTAATCTTACCGTAAATCTCTCCCGAGTAATCACAGTAATTTACTATTGCACTCTCCCGAGATACACTAGCTTACTTTATTTAGCACAATTCACTCTAGATTACACCCAAGGCTTCGTTATCCCTAATCCCGCCTTTAAACCCGCGATTATAGATTCCTCTTATACTTTGGGAGTGGTGTTGTTCAACAATAACCTAAATATGCACTCTTTTCCAAGTTATGCACACTAAATAGGCACAGCTAATTGAGGATCCTGTCAATTAACTACAACAAGCACAAAGTTGAACAAATAGAGATTGAAACTAGCAATTTGTATTCACATAAACAAGATGTTCATCCCCCAATAAGTTCCATCAAAGCCTTAGACAAAGGATTTAGCTACTCATGGCTATGGGAAAACAAACTAAGATAGAATTCATCATAACTAGCAATAAAAATCAAAGAAAAGAAGAACTATGTTTTTGGGTATTCTCTCACAATAGTTTTTCTTGCCAAGATACTCTAAAATTCAATACATTCCTTTCTTGGGCGAAGTCTCGTATTTAAACTAGGGTTTAGGTCTAAAAATCCCGTGTTTTACACTTTAGTCCCTGAAGTTTTCTGCTTCCGCCGCGGTTCTGCCGCGGTCGCGGTCAAACCGCGACCAAATGCCTTCTCTGAATCTCATTTTATCTGCAGCTCTCTTCCATCGCGGTTCTACCGCGGTCGCGGTGGAACCGCGGTCAACACAGTTCTCTGAATCTTCAGGCCTGTTTTGCGTGGTTTACTTGGGGAATTTCACAGTTGGCCTCTTTTTCTTCATTTTTGACTCCAAAAGTACTCCCTAGCCTTCCCTGGTCATATATCACCTGCAAATCATGAAAAGCACTAATAAGAGCATTTTGTTATCACTTTTATCATCAAAACTATACAAGAAGGTGGTTATTTAACGCGTGATTATAGTTAAATTCACCTATTATCAATTACTCAAAGCTAAGATTGGCATCTTTATCAAGCATCATGGTCTTAGCAATAATCATAATTTAGTGGCATGCTAACAACCCCATTTGGTCAGGATGCCGAAGAAAATAAAAGTTTGTAATTATTTGTACTTTAAGCACTAGCGCAAAATGCTTGCTGAACAAAATTAAGTTCACTTATCTCTTGCTACTGTCATAGTACACAGAGGAATACAGTATAGATGATCTTAGCTATTATCTACTCCTTGTGGATTCACATCTTGTTTTCAGTAACCGAATGAGCAGTTCTATTTCTAATACTTGTCTAAATGCCCCTTCCTATTCTTTATGATATATCTAATATTTTCATTTTAGTTACCACCAGTACAGACTGAAAAGGCGCCTCATTTTAACAGTGAACTAGAAGTGTTAGCTGTAACTAGAAGAAGTAATTCTAAAGTCTAAATGCCATTATGACTCCTTTTGAAGTTTTCCAAGGCAGATAACTTCAACTTTTCATGTCATTGTTATAAATAGTGAAATGAATAGCTGATTTGTGTATATATTCTTATATGCTAGAAATTAGCATGCCCAATATTTGTGCTTATTTTTTAAATAGTTTTCAATTACTTATTTAAACATAGATTAGTTGAAAGTCAAATTAAAAATGAAAGTATTACTTATCTATAAGTTGTTTTGCCTTAATGGAGATGGAAAATAAGTTGTTGTTTTTCGGCATTCTTTATAGTAATAGACCCCTTCTGACTGTTAGAACTGTTTTTCCACTGATCCATTAGTAAGTATTATGTTCTCTATCACCTTTGTCATATTACTGCATATGAGGCTTAGTGCTGCGTTCTAGTATTCTCGTATTGTTCTCTTCTGATTATTTAAACAATGAAGTTGCGACATCTCTCTCTGCTTATTTGATACTATGTAGCGCAATCCAGTTTAACCTGTACATACGCTTGTTGATCATGATTAGAAGTTGCCAAGATGTTGTTTGTTGTTTATTACTGGTAATAAATGTTCATGCTTCCACATGAAATATCTTTTGACTTGTAGGTAAATTGGGCGTATACTATTAAGATCTCTGAATTAAGAAGAAGTCAAGGTAGTTTCATGCTTCTATATGACATGATTTGATTACTTCACTCTGAATTATCTAGATGTGTGTCTTGTTCTCCCTTGATGTTTTCTTTTTAATGATTTGGTTGTGTTTCTGTCTGAACTAGAAGTGTCAATATTGTTCAGTTTGTTGTTTCCTTGTCACATGCTATTATGCTATTATGTCATTTCCTGTCCATACCTCATAGTTGCTTTTACATTTCTACTTTTCTCTTGAATTTGTCATATTCTCTGATAACATTCGGTTAGTAAAGAGATTTTCTACAGTTAGTTTCTATTGGCTTTCTTCATCGAAGCGGAGTAATATACATGAATGGAGGAGGCCCCCCCCCCCCCCCCTCCCCAACCGGCATCCCCCGAAAAGAAACTATCTTCTCTTGGTGTGCCCATGTGATTTTCCTGTTTCCTTATAGTAAATACATATCTCGTTTGTGTATTAATTGCACCTGTATTTCACAAGGTCACATCACCTACGTGTCACATTAGCTGGTTTAATTACTACTTGTCATAAAAAAATGTCAGGCATCCACCTAAAGGATTAAATTATATGTCGGGAATGATGCATAATTTTGCACAAGGATATTGCCCTTGTTTCAGAGGCTAACTTGTCCAGTAAGAATGCTCTTGTGGAAAGAAGGAAAGATATCAAAGTTTGAGATGAGGGATTGTCTCGCTGCCTTAATTTTTGTATCTTTTTTAGTGAGTTTTCTTTTGAGGAGCTCATAATACCATTTCCTTTTTTTGGGTGTTAGCAAGGGCATTAAGTGTAGGATTCTCAAGTGATAAGTGCGTGCTGAATTTGGTTACATTTGATTTGGTATGTAATACGTTGACTTCTAACTGCACCTAAGCATTTCTTTTTCTCTTGTGCTGTTGCAACAGGGGAAACTTAAACCTTGCAATTTTGCCAACATCTGAGTTGAGCATCTCATTCATTGGGGATGATGGTAGAACAGCGAGAGTTGGGACATTTGATAGTGAATCTGATTGCGCTGCCGTAGAAATTAAGGATATCGTGTCAGACCAGTCTGGACGCTCTTTTCTTATAAATATCCCTCACGGTGAGACTTCCTATTTTTGGTGTTCAGAGAAGTCTAAGCTCCTTGGAGATGAGTTGCGGAGAAAGGTAGATATACTTTTATGCTTACTGCAATCAACTTCTGAATATTTGTGGCTTTATATTGAATAAGTAGAGGGCTAATATGATTAACAATTGTGGTTTGCTTAGATGAGGGATTTGCTTAAGAAGAAACCTTCCTTGGTTGAATTAACTGGAATTGATGAATCACGGCTGGACTGTTTTGCCATTCATCTTCGAGCTTATCTCCTAGGTTCAGCTGCCACAAATCCTCAAGCCAGTTCCATTCTGTCAAGAGATCCTTCAGCAGATGGCTCTGTTAATTCTTCTGAACCTGGTCTTAATGCCCAGATATCAGTTGTATCTCAGAAACCTCTGCTATCTCAGCACTTCACTGGCCTAGGGTCAAATACCAGCCTGATGAGTAGCCTTAGACCTGTATCTAGTGCTTTTAAAGATAGATATCTTTCTTTTGTAGATTGCCAGATTGCAGGAACAAGTAGCACAGATACACCTAGTTCTAATTGTGTTGAAGAAGACAAGCTTGGAAGAGAAACTGGTCCTTCAAAAGTTTTGGAGCCACTTGTTGCTTGCCCTCCTTTCCGAGACCCTGCAGCTACTATCCATTCTCTGGATTCAACAGTTTTCTCTCCTTATTACTGTTGGTGCCCTCCTGCTGTATCAACTCTGCAGTATTCAGTTGGAACTCCAAACTTGCCTATCTTGTCTACAGACTCATTGTCAGTGCCACTACTCCCTTCAATAGCACCTGCATGTCCATCTAGTATTTTGACACCAAACCCACCTCTTGTCACTGATCTATCCAGTTTCGATTTCCCAACTCTTTCGCCCGAGCCAGTGTTCAGGTTGCCATTATCTTTGGCAACGTCACAGCAAATATCTTCCTTCGCACCTTTTGTATGCGATCCTATTGTCCATATTCCAGTTATTGACGTTTGTTCTTCTGGACAAGGTTACTTGGTCAGTGCAGGTCCTGCTATCTCGGGCACTATTCCACAATTGCACCCAAATTTATTGAATCCCTTACTTCCAGAAACAGATTCAGTGGCTGAGAAAAGTGCCAGAGAGACGCTTCGATTGCTCATTAATAACTCGAATCAGCCCAGCCCACAGCTGATTGATCTACTGCCGCCTGTGCTTTCTCGTAGTGAAGAGACACAAAATATGCTGGTTAGTGGAAGCAGGGGACTTTACTCTGGAACCATAGATGTTGATACTATAGCAAATGGTTTTGCAATTAAGGGTTTGGTTTCACTCTCCGAAAGGCCTGTCGGATTGGTCGATAAGAAGCAAACTAGTATAGAAAAGTTAGTTTTTCCGATGAAAAAACCAGGTATTTCTGGTGAATCTTCACTTGATGAAGGTTATATTGATTTCGAAGAGGAAAGAAAGAAATGATGAACAGATTTCTCTAGTTTGTTTTCTTGTGCTTCATGTTATGTTGCAAAAAACTGTGAATATTTTCTGTAGCTTTGTATTGTCAAATGTAATTAATCCAAGTCTTTCCATTCAAATTATCCCCTTTCCCCCTTCCCCTTACCAATCCCACTATGTAATGGGAAAAAAGTTAAAGGAGGGAAACAGAAGTATAACCTTTAAATGACTATCTATGTATATTACCATTTTAGGTTCTACACTGATATCCTTTAATGTCTTTCTTTTTCTCAATACAACTCTCCATTATTTTGAGAATCACTATTTTGGTACAACGAGCCTTGGAGCAACGGTAAAGTGGTCTCCATGTGACCTGTAGGTCATGGACTCGAGCTGTGAAAGCAGCGATTAATGCTTGCATTATAGTAAATTGTCTATATCATACTCGGGTTGTGACCCTTTCCCGGATCCCGCACGAATACGGGATTTTTTGTGCACTCTTTTTTGGGTGGCAGCCAGAACAACATTAATACTTTTCTAGTTACTCCATTGTACTTACAAGTTACAGCATTGAAAAATGTCAGCAGTATACGAAAAACTAAATTTTAAGGAAGTGCAGTACCAAAACCTATTTTGTAATGGATGACAATTTATTAAAAGGCAAGAAATCTGCAACAACACCAGGAGAAAACCAAGAAAATATCAGAGTAAAAACAGACAAGATTGGTATGTAATAAATGTAGTGCAAACCTGGCCGTGGTGGGGATAGGAAGAAAATTAATGTGCCTTTTTTTTTGTCGACCAGATTGGCTTTACATCAATATTTTACTGAGAGAAAATTCAGAATTATAACATTATAATGCCAAGTTGAAGTTTTATCAATCGGGTAATCGTACTGTCCAATCAATTATTAGGCCTTTCCACCTTTGTTGCTGACATCCCCACATGAATTCCCTATCTCTTCTTCCACCACACAAGCCTATATGTGGCAATCACATAAATATTTGTAATAAAGAATGGAAGACATAAAATTTCCAAAAATATTTGGAGGTATTTGAAACTTTGGAAACGTTTATTGTGTATCAAATTTTCAAATGCAAGCCAAGTACAAGACAAAGTTCATTTTGACATTTATAGATATCAACAAAATGTTATGAGATAGAATCTTTCATTACTAACGTTGTAGGGTGGCAAGAAATTCTACGTATTGACTTTGTATTAAAATGTTGTATAAAAATGTTGGAAGATGAACGATAATTGAGGAACACATAGCTTATTATCAAGAAATATTATTTTATAAGAAGAATTAATCTAAATAGTCGATCACCCGCTTAAACTAAAAATAGAAGACAAATGTATAATATATGTATAAGTATGTATATTCAGTATATAATTTATGTATATCGGCTAGGAAAAGTAAACCATGAATCCGGCGGACTAATTATATAAAACTCCCAAATTATAATGTCATTTTTCGTTCAAATTGTGTACGATTTAAATCTCACCAAAAGCAACCGCATCTTCTTGCTTCCTCTTTTTACCTCTATATCCACTAGCTTATGCTTCGCAAAAAGGGCAAAACAAAAAAAAAACATAAATGGATATCTATAAAAATAAGACGAACAAATGAGATACAGTTGGGAATACAAACAAAGATACTTTGGTCTAATTGTATTATCTACATCTATATCTATATCTATACTATATTAAAAGCACGAAGCTCCTTAGCGAATGTCGTTCGCCTTTTTTAACCTTCAAATTTATATTTCACATTGGACAAAAGTGTATTATTATACTTTTTTTTTCTATATTTAGGAGTTTTAAATCAACTACAATATTATGTATTAAATTTTTCCTTATTTGAATTACTCCTAATAGTTGGAACATTAAAATCAATTAGAATTTACCTTATATAAATTATTCCTTACTTGAACCAGAAAATTACTAATCTAAGTCTATATAAAGGAATAGTCGGACATAATTTTACTCATGACCTTCATCTATCTAAAGTAAACTAGATGAGGAAAGGCCCGTATACGGGTCCAACATGTAATTTTATTAAAATTATTATTTGTTGGTGTTTAGTTAATTAACTTTTGAGGTTTAACAAGCTATATTTTTTAAAATAAGTTTTAAATATAAAAATATTTAGTTTGATATCGTCTTCAAATAGTATGGATAGATGAAAATCATTAAATTTTTATTTTCAAATTGCTTTAAGATAGTATGGGTAAATATGAAAATCTTGTAAACATCGATAATTCTTTTTGTTGTTGTATTATTTAAAAATTAATTTTGTTTTCTCTATGGAAACTTCTATTTGAATAAAACAAAATTAATAATTTTCCAAAATGAGAAAAAGATTGAAAATGAGCATTTGCACTGCACAAATAGTCTAATCAACACATGCATAGTGCATTTAGAGGAGAGTTGTGGCTAGAGGAATGTGGGGTCCACGTGTATTTTGCATTTAAGAAATGCAAAAATGGAATTTTTATGAAATGACATATATGCCCTTGGTCAACCATCTTTCCTTTTCTATATATTATTATTACTAGATGAGGAAAGGCCCGTATACGGGCCCAACATTGTAATCTTAAAATTATTGTTTGTCGGTGCTCAATTATTAATTTTTTGATAAATAAATCGATCATTGTTATATCCATTTAATAACAGATAGAGAATGATATTGGGGATCACAATTTACAATTAATTTATTTTAATAATTTACAAAAAGTTAAACTATAAATTATAATCTGCTTAAGTTGCTCCAATTATTAATATAAAAATACTATGTGCTATAATACTCATTTTAACATCAATGTCAAATATAAACATAAATTGTAAAATTGATTGAATGGTATTATTTTCCCACTATATTTGAATTTTTAATTATAGGGTTTTAATTTTTTCTTAATTAAGGATATAAGAGAAATATTTTTATTTTTTTCTATAGATTTATCATATGTTAATTTTTATAATGAAATAATATAAAATATTTTAAGATAATTTATAGATTGTTGAAAACTTATCATGGAAGAATGGAGTTCAAACCATATAAATCAAATTTTCACATCAATTAAGTACATAAGAGATAACTGTCACGACCCGAAATCCCCACCCTCGGGAGTCGTGATGGCACCTACTCGTGGGAGCTAGGCAAGCCAAGAACAGTCGCCAACAATATCCTAACTCATTTTATCCATGATTAAACAATTCGAATTATAGATGAACAAGCAATTAAAATACTGCGATTATTAAAAGATAGCGGAAGTCTGAACTGAAAATATAGCAACAGCGTCTAAACATCAATACAAGCCTCTACCCAGCACCTGGTGTCACAACATTTCACGGACCATCTAAGAATGCTAAATACAAAGTCTGAAACAAAATGATAAAACTCTGTCTCGATACAAGGGAAACAGGGCAGAAAGGGGATAAAAGAGATGCCTGGCCTGCGGACGCCTGCAGGACTACCTCGGGATCTCGTGGACTGAAGAACTGCTCCCTGGCCTACTGCTGCGCACCGTAAGCTGCTCCGACACCTGGATCTGTGCAAAAGAGCACAGAGTGTAGCATCAGCACAACCGACCTCATGTGCTGGTAAGTGTCTAGCCTAACCCCGGCGAGGTAGTGACGAGGCTAGTACCAGACTCCAAACAAACTTGTGCAGTTATATAATATATCGCGGAAAAATAAACAAGTAATGAGCAGTTACAAGGGGAGGGGGTACATGCCTCGGGGGAAAACAATTCAACTTATCAGCAACCGAATTAAATACGAAGGAACAGTACAATGTCTAAGACAATATGATAGCACTATTGTTGCGGCGCGCAACCCAATCCATACGTTTAACTATATCCGTTGCGGCGTGCAACCCGATCCATACGTTTAACTATATCTGTTGCGGCGTGCAACCCGACCCAAGAAATATCACATATACCTGTTGCGGCGTGCAACCCGATCCATTCTAACTTATGTTGCGGCGTGCAACCTGGTCCACTATAGTGTATGTTGCGGCGCGCAACCCGTTCCAAATATACATAGCTTATCATAATCACAACCACAGACCTCGATTGAGGATCAATCATAAAAATACTCTATCCCGGCAAGGGAACTCAACAGTGCAAGTATACTCATCCCGGCAAGGGAGAACCAGCTATAACCAATCTCAATTCGGATTTTTAGCATTTCTATTATCACCATTTCTAACTCATAGTTATCTTCCACAAAGAAAATAAGCTAAACCTTGCTCAACAACACAAGTCCACTTACTATTTCATCCATAGTATCATTCAAGAACACAAAATCTCAATTTAAGACTCACAGTCATGCTCGACACCGACGTATAGATACTCGTCACCATGCCTATACGTCGTACTCCACAAGAAACACATAGCAAATATGACTCAACTCCTAATCCCTCAAGCTAAGGTTAAACCGAACACTTACCTCGATGTTTTGAATTCAACTCAAGCCTCAATTAGAGCTTTACCCCTCGATTCCGCCACCAATTCGCTCGAATCTAGTCACAAGTTACTTAATTACATCAATAAACGCTAAATAAATCAATTTGAATGCATAAAAATGAATTTCCCAAAGGTTTGCCCAAAAATTCCAAAATTGCCCCTGACCCGCGTGGTCAAAACCCGAGGTTCGAACCAAAATCCGGTTACCCATTCCCCCACGAACCCAAATATATGATTTATTTTGAAATCGGACCTCAAATTGAGGTCCAAATCCTCAATTTTAGAAAAACCTAGGTTCTACCCAAAACCCCAATTTCACCCATGAAAATCATTGATTTTAAGTTGAAAACATGTTAAATAATATTAATGATTGAAAGAATTGAGTAAAAACCAACTTACAAATGATTTGGAAGAAGTCTTGTTCTTGGAAAATCGCCTAAGTGTGTTGGGTTTTGAAAGAATGATGAAAAGTGTTCAAAATTCGGCTAAGTATGAAAAATGCAAGCGTCAGATGTGGGAAATACGAACGTGGGTTCGCATTTGCAAACCCTGACTTCGCATTTGCGAGCCCAAAGTCGCATTTGCGACCGGCTCAACCCCGTATTTGCGAACCAAATGGTCGCATTTGCGACCCCAGTGCAGGATTCCCTTTCTTCGCAATTGCGATGCCAGGCTCGCATTTGCGAGACCTGCTTCGCAAATGCGAAAAAATGCAGAACTGATCATGCCAGATTTTCTCAAAGGTTTCAAATGCACTCACGGCCTATCCAAAACTCGCCCGAGCCCTCGGG